GTTTCCCTATTTTCAGTGTTTTAGCTTTGATTTACTTTTGTGACTTCCCTATCTGGGTTGATATCTGGTTGCTCTGTCCTGTGTTCTAGTCTTGGATTGTTATTTGATGTTACGGTTTTCTAACTGGAGGACTCCCTTTAGTATTTCCTGTAATTTTGGTTTGGTTTTTGTAAATTCCCTAAACTTCTGTTTATCTGGAAATGCCCTAATTTTGCCATCATATTTGAGGGACAGTTTTGCTGGAGATATAATTCTTGGCTGGCAGTTTTTTTCTTCAAGGCTTTGTATATATTATCCCATTGCCTTCTTGCCTGCATGATTTCTGCTGAGTAGTCCGAGCTTATTGTTATTGACTCGTCTTTGTAGATGACTTTTTGTTTATCTCTAGCCGCTCTTAAAATTCTCTCTTTATCTTTAGTTTTGGCAAATTTTATTAGTTTATGTCTTGGTGACTTTCTTTTGGGATCTACCTTCTGTGGGGTTCGATGAGCATACTGGATAGATATCTTGTCATCTTTCACGATATCAGGGAAGTTTTCTGCCAATAAATCTTCCACAATTCTGTCTGTATTTTCTGTTGTCCTCGCCTGTTCTGGTACTCCAATCACTTCGGTTATTCCTTTTGATAGAGTCCCACATAATTCTTAGGGTTTTTTCATTTTTTTAAATCCTATATCTGATTTTTCCTTAAATAAGTTGGTGTCAAGTGCTTCATCTTCAATCTCACTAATTCTTACTTCCATTGCCTCGATTCTGCTCCTATGACTTTCTATTGAGTTGTCTAATTCTGCAATTTTATTGTTAATCTTACGGATTTCTGATTTCTGTCTCTCTGTGGATTCTTGTGGCCTGTCAAATTTGTCATTATGCTCTTCTCTAATTTTTTAATTTCCTCTATTGTGTGTTCTGTGTTTTGCTTAATTTCCTTCCTAATTTCTGGAAGAGTACTGTATATCAGTCTTTTGTATTCTGCCTCCAGTAGTTCGAAGAACTTTTTCTCCTCTGGAAAATTTCTAGATTCTTTATTTTGGGAGTTTGCTGAAGCCATCATGGATTGCCTCTTTATGTGATTTGATGTTGACTGTTGTGTCTGAGCCATCAATACATTATATTTATTTATTTTATGTTTGCTTACTGTGCCCTAGCTTCTTGTTTTGTTTTGATATGCCCAAATAGGCTGCTCATATGAGAAAGGTATACGGTGCTCTGAGAGCCTAAAGTAGGGGCTATAACCTAGTCGGTAAGGTTCCCTTAGGAAGTGGCAAGTAGTAGTTGCTTAGGTAAAAGAAAACAATTAAAAAAGAAAAAAGAAAAACCATTGCTGTCGAGTGGATTCCAACTCATAGTGACCCTATAGGACAGAGTAGAACTGCCTCATAGGGTTTCCAAGGGGAGCTGGTGGATTCGAACTGTCGACCTTTTAGTTAGCAGCCAAGCTCTTAACCGCTGCACCACCAGGGTTCCAGGTACTCTAGGCAGAGGCAACAGTACTTATAAAGGGAACAAGACAAGTACAGAGATAAAACAGGGCCAGTACAGTTGAAGCAAAGTGAAGGGGAGCATGGAGCAAAATGAGGCTAGGAAGTAGTAGTGACCAGGCCCTTCAGGACTTCGTAGGCCCATGTTAAGGAGTTTTGTCTTCATTTTAAAATCAATAGGAAGTTACTGAGTGGATTTAAGCAAGTTGGAGGAATAAGGGACAAGGATGTGGGTGACGGGATCAAATTTGCCTTTACATTTTAAAAGATCACTTTAGTTGTAGTGTAGGGAATGAGTTGGAGGGGAGTCATAGTGGATATGGATAGACCAGTTAGGAGAATATTGCAATGGTACGGATAAGAGATGATGGGAGCTTATATAGCAGGATGGTGGTTGTGAAGATGCTAAGAAGTGAACAGATTTGAAAGAGATCTAGAATTGCTATAGATTTTTTTTTTTGGTAATATGGCAGTATCTATTAAAAAAGCAAACACATATAAATTAACCTGGCAGTGTCACTTTGGAAAATGCATCCAGTAGAAATACAAGCTGTAATACTAAGGAATACATGTATAGGAATATTTACTGTAGCAGTATTTGTGATGGCAAAAAACTTGAAACAACATGAGTATCCATAAACATGAAAATGGTTGAATAAATCTGGTGCTTCTAGATTCCATATTCTATGGACTATCAATACATCTGTCAAAAAATAAGTGAGCCTGGCTACCACCAATGACCGCCCTTACAGGGAACACAACAGAGAATCCCTGATGGATCAGGGGGAGGGTGGGATGCAGAACTCAAATTCTAGTAAAAAGACCAGACTTACTGGTCTGACTGAGACTGGAGGAACCCTGGAAAGCACGGCCCCTGCATTGCCAGCCCAGTACTAAAACAGTTCCCAACACCAACTCTTCAGCCAGAGATTGGACTGGACTGTGGGACATAAAATGATACTCTTGAAGAGTGTGCTTCTTAGCTCAAGTAGATACATGAGACTAAATGGGCAGCTTCTGTCCAGAGGTGAGATGAGCAGGCAGAGAGGGTTAGGAGCTGGTTGAATGGACATGGGAAATCAGAGGTGGAAGGAGGAGTGTGCTGTCACAGTATAGCGGGAGCAATTAGGATCACATAAGAATGTATGTATAAATTTTTGTATGAGAGACTAACTTGAAATGTAAACTTTCACTTAAACTACAATAATTAAAAAAAATAAGTGAGAGGCTACTCTGAAGCTTCTGTGGACACAGGTTTCACTTCCTGCTGTGGCATGAGGTAATAACCTTTTCTCCATATTCAGCACCTCATAAATATGTGCCTTTTTTTTCACTTTAAAGATGAGGAAACTGAGGCTCAAAGAGGTTAGGTCATAAATGTTGCCAATATTTATCGAACATTTTCTGTGCTCCAAGCACCATTCTAAGCACTGTACAGATTCATTTGTTCCTCTGAATAACTGTGAACAAAACGTTATCTCCCTTTTCAAGATGGGAAGAATGGGGCATGGAGAGGCCAGGGGACTTGGTCAAGGTCACACACTTAATAAGAAGGAGAATTAGGTTGGTGCCCATATTATCTGACTCTAGCATTCGTGCCCCTAACTGCCCTGTTCCACATCTCAGGAGTAGGCTGCTCAAAGTTTTGTAGTTAACTTACAGATAGCAGTGTGATGGCACCTATGTCACTTGATCACAGAGGCCCCTGCCCAGCTTCTAGGGCAGGGATGAGACAAGGCAGAGATAAATGCCAGGTGCAACTGATGGTTACTGGGAGATGACATGGTGCTGGAAGCTGAGTCCCCCTTCTCCCCTGAGGGCTTCTAAGTCTCAGTACACTTGATACTTGTGGCAGGTGAACATGTGCTTAGACATAGGTGCGCAATTCTAAAAGGGGCATGTCTTAGTAATGCCCAGGCCAGATGGGGAGGGGATTCTCAGAGAACTTTATAAAAGTGTAGTTAATAATAACGGTGATGGTGCTAACAATAATGATGAAGAGGAAAAATTAATCTATTAAAATTATTCTGATGAATTAAACTTTTAACAGACTTTAGTACATTGTTGTTCTTCACTGATTAAAGCTTTTTAGAGGCTAGAGGTTTAAAATGTTTTTCTAATTCTAAATATTAATACATACTTATTGGAGAAATTTTAGAACGTAAAGAAAAGCATAACTATAAAAAAAAATAAGATAGACCTTTTTTATCAAGTTGGAGGAATGTCCTGTTGTGTATGGTATGAAAACTCCACCCTTACCCCACCCCCCGATATATGAGTAAATTAGTATTACCATATACTTGTATAAGCTTGGAGAAAGGAGTGCAACGATAACAGCAGGCTGTTAAGGATCTGTTCTGTTGGGGTTAGGGACATCGAAAAGTAGACCCTGAGTCTGGTTTTAGACACATGGAGGTGAAGTGCTTTGGGATATTAAAGGGAGATATCACATAAGCAGTTGGTCTGAAGTGCAGAAATGTCTGAGCTGGGGATGAATATAGGAATTATCTGAGTATAGTGGTAATTTAAGCTATTGACATGGATGAAAATATAGGTTGAGTGTAGAGTTCCCAAGGAACTTTAACATTTTATGGCTGGACAGAGAATGAGCTTACAAAGGACACCTAGATTTAGAAGCCAGAGAATAAGGGAAAACCAGACAAGATAAGGGAAGAGAGTGTCCAAGATTTATGCTTATTCCTTTTTATAAACCTTGGGGTAAATATTGATTATTTCTTCATGTTAACTTCCTAGTTGTCGACTTACTATGAGTTTGTAGTCTCCCACATTGCATGAATGCCTAAGTTGACTATATCACTGGCAATCCTGAATTATTGCTAATTTAGGAATTTTAATTTTAATTCCTGGTTCTTTATAACATCTTTAATATTGATCCCTTCCTGATTGTTTATAGAGATTTTGAGTTCCGGTACTGATTATGGAACCCCTGGGTGGTGCAGATGGTTAATTTACTCAGCTCCTAGCCGAAAGGTTGGAGGTTTGAGTCCACCCAGAGGCACCTCAGAAGAAAGGTCTGGTGATCTACTTCCAAAAAATTCGGCCATTGAAAACCTTATGGAGCATAGTTCTACTCTGACACGTGTGGGGTTGCCATGAATCAGAGTCGACTCTACAGGAACTGGTTTTTCACTGATTATGACACTTTGAATGTCTGCAATTACAAACTACACTTTCCCCATTTTACACCTATTTTACTTGTTAAAGTTTTGAGGTTTGTGGTATATTAATGTTTCTGGAGCTTGCACCCGTTTACAAAGAGCTGCAGTATTGAAGTTCTTGAATGAAACAGCTAGATGGAAATTGTGAAGATGTCTGTGTATATTGTTAGAACAGCATGTCCTGGATGTATATACATATCTTAATTATAGGTTTTCAAAATTTCTTACAGGCGAAATGCCAGCGTTACGAGAAAAAGCAAATGGAGCAACAAGAGACTATTGCTTCTTTGCAAAAGAATATCTGTAGATTAACACAGGAGGAAGAAGAGCGCATTGTCACTCAAAACAGAGTGTTTGCCTATCTCTGTAAAAGAGTTCCTCATAGTGTTTTGGATAGACAGTAAGTTTCCTATAAGTTGCTATGTAGCTGTATATATCATGTTTTTGTTTTTTACTGATTTCATCTTTGGGGTAGTAGTACGTCTTATAAACTAGAGGGGTCTTCCTCCCCTTCTTTTTTTCCCCCATGTTATTGACTTGTTGAAGAAACTGTAAGTTGTCTTGGAGAAGATCCCACATTCTAGATTTTTCTGTTTACTTCCTCATCATTTAATTTATTCTGTCTCCCATATTGCCTGGGAGTTAGTGCTCAATTTAAGTTCTAGTATTTTTGGTAGAATACTTCATAGGTGGTACTGTGTGCTTCATATTTTAACATCTCTGGAGGCATGTAATGTCTAGTTGACCCACTGGTAGGGATGCTAAGATTGATCTGGGGTTTAAATGGTAACAGTCTGATCATTCCATTTTCAAATTCCCCATCATCCTTTCCTTTAATGGTTTTACCCATTGATGATCTTCCAAAATGGTGATTTTTATTTCTGCCATGCCTTTTTTTTTTTGCTGCAATTCTGTAAAAAGAACTTTTCCTTATCAATTAAGTTCTTTTTGGTTGTCTCACTGGTTTGTTACAGAAAGTTAGGATAAATACTCAGTTCTTTCCCTTTTTATTTTCTAAATTTTATTTATTTTTTTGTTATTGTTGAGAATATACACAGCAAAACATGCACCAGTTCATAGACTACACAATACTGGAGAAGCCAGCACAACTTGTCCAAGGCAAGTCATGGAAGCTCCATAGACATCCAGACTCCCTGAGGGACTGAATTGCTGGGCTGAGGGCTGTAGGGACCATGGTCTCAGGGAACATCTAGCTCTATTGCCTTAACATAGTTTATAAAGAAAATGTTCTACATTCTACTTTGGTGAGTAGCATCTGGGGTCTTAAAAGCCTGTGAGCAGCCGTCTAAGATACTTCACTGGTCTTACCCCTTCGAGGGCAAGGGAGAATGAAGAAAACTAAAGATACAAAGGAAAGATTAGCCCAAAGGGCTGATGGACCACAACTACCATGGCGTTCACCATACTGAGTCCAGTACAACTAGATGGTGCCCAGCTACCACCACTGACTGCTCTGACAGGGATCACAATTGAGAGTCCCAGACAGAGGTAGAGAAAAATGTAGAACAAAATTCTAACTTACAAAAAATGACCAGACTTACTGGCCTGACAGAGACTGGAGAAACCCTGAGAGTATGGCCCTGGGACACCTTTTTAGCTCAGTAATGAAAGCACTCCGGAAGTTCACCCTTCAGCCAAAGATTAGATAGGCCCATAAAACAAAATGAGACTAAAGGGGCACACGAGCCCAGGGGCAAGGACTAGAAGGCAGGAGGGGACAGGAAAGCTAGTAATAGGGAACCCAAGGTCGAGAAGGGAGAGTGTTGACATGTCATGGGGTTGTTAACCAATGTCATAAAACAATATGTGTACTAACTTTTTAATGCGAAGCTAGTTTATTCTGTAAACCTTCATCTAAAGTACAATTAAAACAAAACACCAATTCAACAGTTTCTACCTCTACAATTTAGTGACATTGATTGTTCTTCGAGTTGTACAACCATTCTTGCCCTCCTTTTTTGAGTTGTTCCCTCATTAACATAAACTTGCTGCCTGCTAAGGTTCCTATCTAAACTTTCAAGTTGCTGTTGTCAATTTGATCCCATACAGATAGTTCTTAAAACAAGGCAGACCTTTTTTTACTAGTTAAGCTAAACTATGGTTCATTTTTAAGAAGACTTCAGGGAATATTTTGGTTTAACGAGTCACCCTCATTCTTGAAGGATGGTTTCACTGGATACAGTATTCTTGGTTGACAGTTTTTTTTCTTTCAGCACTTTAAATATCTCATTCCATTGTCTTCTGGCCTCCAATGTTTCTGAGGAAAAAATTGACATTTAATCTTATTAGGGATCATTTCTATGTGGCTGTTTGCTTCTCTCTCACTGCTTTCAGGATTCTCTGTCTTCAATTTTTGAGAGCCTGACTGTGATGTATCTTGGTGTAGATCTCTTTGGGTTTATCCTGCTTGAGGTTCTTTGAGCTTCTTAGATTTGTAGATTCATGTCCTTTGTTAGATTGGGGAAATTTATGTCATTATTTCTTCAAATATCCTTTCTGTCTCTTTCTCTCATCTTCTGCTGGAATTTCCGTGTTACGTATATTAGGTCTCTTGTTTTCCCATAATTCCATTAAACTGTGCTCAGCCTTCTTGAACCTCCATTCTTGTTCTTCAGTGTCTGCAGTTTTAACTATCTTATCCTCTAATTTGCTGATTCTTTCTTCTGTCAGGTTAAATCTGTTGGTAAGTCCTTCTGTTGTGTTTCTCACTTCAGTTATTGTCCCTTTCCGGTGCAATATCTCTTTTTTTAGATCCTCATTTTCTTCTTGCATTGTTTTCCTTATTTCTTTTAGCTGTTTGTCTCTGTTTAGCCTTAGTTCTTTAATTATGTTTAATGTTGTTGTATTATATTCTTCCATTTTTTTTTCATTGTTTGGTCATCCCTAGATGCACTTTCACTCCCTTTGTCGTGTTCATTTGGATGGGCTATTGTTTCTCTATTCTTTGTGTTTTTTTTATTTTGTTGGGGGATTGGAATTTTCAGGGATGTTAACTTTCTCAGTTTGCCAGTATTTGATGTTTTTGCCGGCACTATTTTCTGCAAGAAATTCTTAGAGGGGCAGAGCCTTCGGCCTTTGCTTACCATTTCCCCTTCCTCTCTGTGATAGCTCCTCCTCCCTCCCTGGTTTAATTGGCATTCGAAAGTTCCAGATCTCATTTTTCAACTTTCAGTGTCTCCCAAACATACCAGAGAACACACTGTGGTCAAACTGCCCACTAGTGGACACCACCACTCAGGCAAGAAGTCATGTGTTAATCAATCTGTCCACCAGCAGGTACAGTCCCCTCTGTCTGGTTATTACTCACTCCTTCCCTTCTCTGTTTCTGCACTCTCATTTTTTAGTCAGAAAACCCACACTGAGCAAGCCCTCTTTGTGGTTGGATGTTGCCCTACAGTTTCGCCCAAGGTTTCCTTCCCTCCTCTGTGGGGGCTCATTATATCTGAACTGGCATTCAGGGGAAGCACAGACAGAATTTCCTCCTTTTCAGGAGGAGTAGTGGCCGGCATTCTCCAGAAGGACCTCTAAGAGATCTGTCTTACTGGTTTCAGAGCCCCAGTGGCCCTGTGGTTATAGGGGGAGCAGTCTCAACTTCCTGACTCCACTGTATGGAACCTTCTGTAGGAGTTTGTATCAATCTAGCAGCTGACAGTTACTGGTTGGGGGAGGGATAGTCACACTCTGAACGGACTCCCAGGAAGGTCTTCCTTGTTGCTATCAGAGCTTGCTCTGTATGTTGGCTGTGGGTGTAGCCTCCACTCAAGATGCCTGCTTCCTAGCACACAGCAGCCTCAGTCAGCAGTCCTCAGCACTGACTGTAAGGGGAAGTAGACAGACCCAAACTGATCCATAGGTAGGTCTGTTCTGTTGGTTTCAGAGGCCTGAGCTATGGGGTGTGCAGGGAGGCCAGTAGAGTGTTTACTATGGAAGCAGACTCCACTGCACAGGCCTTCTGTTGAAATTTGCAGTAGCTTGCAGTTGACAGTGTCTGGGTTGGGGAGGTGCTGGCACACTCCAAGCAGATCTCTGGGGAGTTCGCCTTGTTGATTTTAGGGCAGAAGCTTGAGGTCCTTCTCTTTGTACAGGCAGGGGCTGTGGTGCTTAGGGACTCAGACTCTTCTTCTGGGGCCACTACTCCAGTTCACAGCAGCTGGTGGTCTGCATGGCTGAGGGAGGGACAGGGACGGTGGGAGAAGCGACTTTCTTACCGTATGTGACTCATTATTGATTTGTTGATTGCTGCCTGTCTGCAGTTCCCCACTACTTTCCTCTGCTCCCTGATTCAGAGTACCTCAAAGCAGAGCATCATTTCCTTGTTGTATTTTTGGGGGAGGGTTGGAATGATGGTTTGTTTATGCTGCCATCTTCCCATAATTTTTCCAGTTCTTTCCCTTTAATTCCTCTCTTTAGAGTAAGAAGTTGGTGCTCTAATGCTCTCCAGTAATAAGCAATGTTTTTTGTTTTGGTCTTACATCTTTTTGACCCAACACTGAGGCCATCCTATACATTTCTTACTTAGCGATCTTCTGAGGAATGGAACCAGATATTTGCTAAAAATAATATTAAACATTTGAAGTTAATTAAATTAAAGTTAACTAATTACTCAGATATTCCTCAAAAGAGCTCTGGTTCCTTTTAGTGAGGAATGATATTTAGAGACCACAATTTGCATGCTGGGTTTGCTTATTGTTATTAGGTTGTCGTTGCTTCTAGGACGTTTAGTGGAAAGAACTAGGAACTGTATATTTCTGGGGGAAAACATCAGTAGTCATTACTGATTTTTCCTGTTGAAGTTAACATAACAGAGATTTTTATTTAAACTCTTTGGTTTTACATTTGTATCTCTGAAAATCTTTATTCCTAAAAACAATATCATAATTATTCGCTTTATTTTATAATATATATAGTTTGAAAATAGTATCAGTATTACTACTAATAGTGAGACTTCTAAATGAAATTTAAATTTCTTTACAATTCCATTTGATCTTAACTATATTCTGCTGTAGATACATTTAAAATAGAATATTCTAAAATCTCTAGAAATACTTCTTTTCTCTGTGTTTGTGCGACCAAATTAATACACAGTTAGATTTGTTTTAACTTATTTTCAATTTTTAGGAATTACTATTTATTTACTTTTGAATAGTCAAAAGCCAAAACTAATTATTTATATTCAGAGAAGTTATGTTTTCATTCCTATTCTCTCTACCCTAATCCTTACTTCCCCTATAGGTAATGAATTTTAAATTTTTATTGTTATTTTTAGCAAATACAAGCACTATGGATGTTAGACTCATGTTCCTCCTTCTTTTATAAAAGGTAGCACCTTGCTTTTTTTAACCTAACAGTATGAAGTGGTTATATTTTTACTAGTCTTATGTATTTACATAGTAGGTTAGGTGTTTACTAATTAGGCATTTCTGTTTTACTGTCACAGTAAATGGGGAGTGAAATATAAATTTAAAAAAGTTAAAACTAACTTTCGATTATTTTGATGATTGAGAGATAATACATATTTACGTATATAGGTGGTCTTCCTTTGGAAGGAAGTGCAAAGACAAAAACTTCAGTTCATAATAAAATAACAAAAATATAACTAGAAATTGGTGTGAATAAATAAACAAAGAGGGAAGCAAAGAAAGAAAAATAGGAGGAGTAAAGAAGAAGAAAAAGAATGAGAGACAGAGACAGTTAAGAGTGGGAGCAAGAAGGGTGTGAGAAAGATGGGGAAAATGAAAAAAAGAAAATACAGTCAATATAAGTAAGTGAGAGGACAAGAAAAAGAGAAGCATTGAGAGAACTTGCCATAGAGCAGATGAAGTTAAGCTAATACAGGTATGAATTTGGCTGATGGGTCAGAGAGTCTCCACTCTGCTTGATTTTTAATAAAGCAAATTTTTGGTTTGAGACACTGAACTTGAAAATTGTGAATTAACCCTATTTGGAATAGATGAACTGTAGCCACTACAGACTTTGTCAAAAGTTACAAAGGCAGTGAGCTAAGTAAAATAGGGGACACACACATGAGTTAAATCATGATTGCTGCATTCACAGACCTGAGTCTATTTGGGTAGACGTACACGTACTCAGGTAAGTAAAATGTAAGGTAGATAGTGGTATGTGCTGTAATGGTGAGGCAGTAGGATATTAAGTGGGTATGGCAGGAGAGATTAATTTCCATTGAGCGAGGTGGGAATGACCATAAAGGCTTCATGAAAGAGATAACTTTTAAGCCAAACTATTAGGAATCGACTTGACTGCAGTGGATTGGTTGGTTGGTTATTAGGAACCCTAAGATTTTAATAGGCGGAGGTGAGGGAAAGAGTATTTCAGTAAGAGAAGTATGGTGGCAGGAAGACAATGTATTTGGGAGTGGCAAGTAGTCCAAGAGATGTGAAGCATAGGATGCATGAGATGATGGGAAGAGTCTTAAGACACAAGATGGAAGGAAAGGTGTGCTGGAACTTTGAGGGCTTTAAACTCCAGGCTGAAGAGTTTGGGTTCTATTTTCCATGTAGCAGTGGGGGAAAAATCCAGGATTTCTGAGCAAAGAAACTAAACTTGAAGACAGAAACACCAGTTCATAATCAGTTGTAATGGTCTAGGGGAGAGATAATGAAGACCTGAACTAGGACCAAAAGAAAGATACCACAGAGATGGACAGGATTTAATCACTGACTGGTTGTAGATGTTGACAGGAGGGGAGGAATCAAAGATAGCCACCATATTTCAAGCTAGGTTTAGGGGGAATGGGAAGGGAAGATGATAAATTCATTTATGGACATGTTCTTGGGCACCTTCAGCTCAGCCATGTGGAGATGTTAGGCCTGCAGCAAGATGGGTTGAACTCCAGAGAACCTCCAAATTTCAGGTAGAAAAAGAAGAGGCAGACAAGGAGTTATGTTTACGAGTGTCAGGAGAACCAAGGAACAAGAATGTTTCAAGAAGGAGAGTCTGGACAGAAATGTTACATGCTGCCTCATCACTTTACTTGTTTGCCTTCCCAATGTCTTCTTTGCTTGGAATCTCCATTACTTGACACATAATAAGTCTTTCCTAAAAGTTTATTGAAAGTGGTAGGTAACAATCACTCAGAATGAATGAAGTTTGCTATGAAGGAGGAGATAGAAATGGAATGGTAGCATAAGGGGGAAGCAGGTGGTGAGAGAGTTTGTGTATGATATAAGGAAGACTGAAGCATATTTTCAGGATAATGTGAAAGCTGATATATGCTGGGATGGGGAAAGGTTGAAGAGAAACAGAACAATCCATATTACAAGCACAACTGGATGAGTTAGCTCTGAAAAAGAGGGTGGCTAGGTAATATTATTCCAAGACAGAAGGGAACAGTTTCTTCAAGAATAACATATGAAAGTGTAGTGTTATTTTTAGTTTTATCTCATAATTTTTTTAATTCTCAAATTAATACATATATGCTCATAAAAATTTGAATAATATAGAAGTGTATAAAGTAAAATGTTATGGACCTACTTACCCTTGCTAATTCCCATGCCCCAGAGAATAACCACTCTCAGCAGTTTCGTGTGTATCCTCCCTAGTGTTTTTCAATAGGAGTACTGTTGGCATTTTGGGTGGGACAGGTCTTCACTGTGTAGGGCTGTTGTGTTCACTGATGAACTTTTAGCATCCTGTTCCCCCACCTCTAGTCAATGTGACAACCAACTCTGCCCTCCAGATACCCCTAGGTTATGGTATTATCCCCCAGTAAAGAACTTGTAGTGTTCTTTTTCAGTGCATTTACAAATTCACACGTGATTTTTCTTTTCCCCTTTTTTAAAAACAAAACTAGAGTGATCCTTTACATTTGGTTAGGGAGCCCTGGTGGCACGGTGTTTAAAATACTTAGCTGCTAACCGGAAGGTCAGTGGTTTGAACCCAGCAGCCGCTCCGCAGGAGAAAGATGTGGCAGTCTGCTTCAATAAGATTACAGCCTTGGAAATCTTATGAGGGCAATTCTGCTCTGTCATATAGGGTCACTATGAGTCAGAATTGACTCGACGGCTACAGTTTACATTTGGTTATGCAGCATTAACTTTTTCCCTCAGCAGTCCTTATTAGGATATACAAATTTACATCACTTCTTTTAATGCTGCATAATTTTCTATAGTGTGGATCTGCCAGTACTTATTTAACTTTTCCCCTGTTGAAGGACATTTAAATTGTTTCTGGCTTTCCACTCTTATATACAATGGTGCAGTGAACAACTTTTTACATATTGAGTTGCACCCTTGGGCAAATATTTCTGTGGGAGAGATTGCTAGAGGTTAGAACTGTTGGGACACGGAAAATATGTATTTAATATGTTGAGGGAGAAAGTTTGTTGTTATTTTAAAACCTATACTTTGTAATTATGACATAGTATAATACTTGCTTCTATCAATAATCATTTAATTTTTAAAAACCTACCAGGTAGTCCTTTATTACTTTTATCACTGTAATTCGAAATTATGTAGAGAAAATAGTAGGTGCTCTAATATAGCATTCTGAGAACAAGCCGCACTATCTCTTCTGTTTTCTAGGCTGCTTTGCCTGATTGATTATTATGAATCTAAAATCAGAAAAATACATCAACAAAGGTATGACTAATTCAGTATTATAACTTTTAAAGTTATTAACCAGTTATGTTCCACAGTAAGTTTTTGCAGCCTTTTGAAACTTTTTAAGTATGCTATGAAAAACTACCTACCGTGTCATGATGTTTCTTTCATAAAAATCTTTAAGACTGTATTTTAGTACTTATGTTAAAATTATTGATGTATTTATATTACATATTAATATTAAAGTAATCACAAAAGCACTGGTTACAGCAAAAATGGTATTTTTTATTTGTTGAATTATTATAATTTGTTCTACTGGTGTCATCCAGCCCCTGGATAGTTGTAAGTTTCCACCAAGTGCATAAGATTAGATTAGCTGTATAACACCATGCAACATAATTAGTATGCAGATTTTACACAAGGTAAAGAAAAAATACTGCAGTGAAAAAAATTTACCATATAGATGAAAATACACTTGTCACCTCTGATTAAAGAAGTAGGAGTAAGGAATAACGGTCTTTGGCTAACCTAAAATAGCTAAAGGATATCTAAGGCCAAATAATCTAAAATGTTTAATATGTGATCATGAAAACAGTAGCTATTTTGTTTTCTTGTTTATAGATAGGTAGTTCTTTCAAAAAATAAATATTTGAACACCTGCTTTGTGCCACGTTCTGTTTTAGGTACAGAGGCTTTCACAATAAGCAAAGCAGATAAATTCTCTGCTTTCATGAAGCATACTGTAAAAATGGCATAGGGGCAGCATCTGGCCTCCTCTGACTTAGCTAGTGGGGGAAGGAGAATCAAGATCAACAGCCCAAGACTGATTCCCTATGAGGCAGAGGTCAGACATGCCTCCTCTCTCTGCCATTTTTACCAATTCTGACACCAACTGTACCTCCTATGGCACTCTCTATTTCTGTGCTGGGTTCGGTAATTCATTGCAATGGAACTCACAGACCATACTTACGATTATGGGATTTATTAGAGGAATTAACAGATTACAGTTCAGGCTCAGGAACACTCAGGATACAGTTCTTCCATCAGGACAGCCTCTTCCCAGCCATGTTGCGGGCACATTTCTCTCTGGCCCTCGTCCTCTGCCCTGCTAGGCAAGTGTTAAAAAACTCTTTTAGCTCTGCCGATAAGTGCCCAGAGGCACTCCGCTCCGCCAGTAAGCCTCAGCCCGAAGACACTCAGCTTTCTTGCTCTGTGGGAGGGGAAGCCCACTGCGCCATCTCTTGCCAGTCTCTCTAATCTCTCCTGATCTCTCCTGATGCTGTTTGTCTGCCACTGCATCCCGCTGTCGTCAGTGTTACGGCTCTCTGTCTCCTGGGTCCAAGAGCTTCTCAGTGCAAGGATCCTGGGTCCAAAGGACACACTCTCCACTCCTGACTGTTCGTCTCCTGGCGGTTGTAGGATGTTCTCCTTCTCGCTTCTGGGATGGCTCATTTCAAGCCCAGCAGGATGACAAAACTGACCAATCCCCTTGGTGAGCTACAATTACCCTATTTTCACAGTCCTACCCACTCACTTGGGTGGGAGTTACAAGACTGTGCCTGGAAAGGCCACACAAAAGTGATCCATCACACCACAGGCCACCCCCTGGCTTTTCTAGCCATGGTTCTTTCATACTTGAAGGATAACCTCCCCCTCCCAATCATTTCACCTATCCAAAACAGTCATTAACAATTAGTTCTTCAGTAGGGCAAAAGAGTCCTCAGGGTGAGCCCCATTTTAGATAGCCAGTGTTTAAATTGCCTGTCCCTATCAAACCAGTCCTCTGAGAAGATAAGCATGTTCCTTGGTTTTGAAGAATCTTCTGTTCTGGTTGGAACTTTGAGCATCTGCATCCATAAGCAAAGTCCAGTCCAGAATAAGCCATCAGATTGCAGCAATCTCCACCAGCTCACAGTGTCAAACATCTTTCTCTTCATTTGGTCAGGTTCTGGTCGGCTCATCCCTAGCCATCCAAGCTAGGTCACAATAGGTAGCAGCCTTAGGCTCGAGAGTTCACACACACCTCCTGGCACTTCAGACAGTCCCTTCACACTCTCTCATCCCTGGCCCCCTTGGGCTAGGTCAACAGGTTCCACCCATAAACTTCAGGAGTCCACACAACTCCCTTTACTTCTGACCAGCCGACCCTTCCTCTCTCCCTTATCCCTACCTGCTGTGGGCTAGCTCAGCGAGTACCAATGGCACATGTCCAAACAGCCTGTCTCTTCATTTCTGCGCTTCCCCCACTTGTACTCATGAGTGGATCCAGGTGGTCACCACAGGCGAGCATACCAACCTGTCTACTTGCTGGTCCCCTTTCACCTCCAGTCCTGGAAGGGGGTTCCTTCTGATGAGCACTGACTTTTCCTGTCTGGATGTATCCAATGGCAAACTGCTTGCTCGAAATTCAAACAGTGGAAAAAGTCACTTTTTTTTTTCCCTGCAGGTCATTCAAATGCAAATCTCGTGTTCTCTCAGCAGTTCTAGGTGGTTCTGCATATCTTTTCAAATGCAAATTTCCTGACTCGAAGGGTTCCCATGGGGTCAGACATACACAGGGCTACTGCATTCAAGCAGCCTGGGTTTCTTTGGGCAAATTCTAGGTCCCATTTTAGCATATCCAATCAAGTATTGGCTGAAGGCAGAGTTACACACTCTTTGTAATCTGTAATACCCAGTTTTCATTTCTATCATGCATTCAGCTGTGCTTTACAACACTAGGTAGGAGAAACATTCAATATCCATAGTACATTCAGATAAACACATAACCCTTTTTTAAAACCTTACAGTTTCATCTTCTCTTCCCTACCCTTTAACTATCTTCCCATTCATATGCATATGGCCTTGGGCCTCTGGCTAGATAGAACCAGAAAATCCTGACCCCTATCAATCATCCTGCTTATCTGGCCTTATTGCCCCTGGCCACTCCAGATGTGGCTTTTCAGCCATTACAGGTAAGAACAACCAAAGTAACTAAGAATCAGAGTTTCACTTCCCAAGCCCCTTCGTTCTTTCTCTTACAAAGTCCCAGGTTTTCATGAATCTGGAGCCATTGCAGAGAATCCCACTTCTGACACCAACTGTAAAAATGGCATGGGGGCAGCATCTGACCTCTTCTAACTTTACTAGGGGGCGAGAAAATCAAGATCAACAGCCCAAGGCTGATACCTATGAGGCAGAGGTCAGATATGCCTCTTCTCTCTGCCATTTTTAGCAATTCTGACACCAACCGTCCCTCCTATGGCACTCTTTACTTCTCTGCTGGGTTCGATAATTCATTGCCATGGACACACAGAACTCACAGACCATACTTGGCGATTATGGGATTTATTAGGGAAGTGACAGGTTACAGTTCAGGCTCAGGAACACTCAGGATGCAGTTTTTCCATCAAGACAACCTTTTCCCAGCCATGCTGCAGGCACACCTCTCTCTGGCTTCTGCCCTGTTCAGGCAAGTGTTACGAAGCTCGTTTAGCTCTGCTGATATGTGCCCAGAGGCACCCTACTCCGCCAGTAAGCCTCAGCCCAAAGGCACTCAGCTTTCTTACTCCTTGGGCCAGGAAACCAATTGTACTCTCTCCTGCCAGTCTCTGTTGCTGGTCTGTCCTGCTGGTCTCTCCTGCCGCTGTTGCTCTGCCACCGCTTCCTGCTGTCTTCAGTGTTACAGCTGTCTCCTGAGTCGAGAAGCTCCTTAGCACAGGGATCCCAGGTCCAAAGGACGCACTCTCTATTCTTCTCCTATTGGTGGTAGGATGTTCTTCCCACCTCTGGGATGGCTCATTTCAAGCCCAGCAGGACAGTGAAACTGTCCAGTCCTCTTAGTGGACAACAATTACCCTATTTGCACTGTCCCACCCAATCACTTGGGTGGGAGTTACAAGACCATGACAAATAAGGCTACACAAATGCGATCCATTGCACTGCACATACGCTCTAGTATTCTTGCCCCAAGAATGACTTTCCAGAATCTCAGAGATAGTCTCTCCATTAGTCACTATTGCAGAGCTGTGTTGGTTGTTGATTCCTTCTAGCACCTTGGGGATTCTTAAGAAGATAGCAAGAAAGGAGCGAAAGGGGAAGAAAAGAAAGGAAAAAAAAACAACAACAACAACTAATGGCTAGAAACAACTCTTTGCATTGTATTAAGTAACTTCAGGGACTTTCTGATTTCTAAATGAGACTGTCTTTTAGATGGTAGGAATGGTTGGTGTTAGATAGAGTCTACAGAGATAGTACAAAGTTTTGGACATGGTCCTTACCTTCTAGGAATTTACAGTCTAGTAAAGGAGATAAAAGGTAAACACAATAATTAAGATAAATAATATGATACTTTAAAGTTCTATAATACATAATGCCACAATAGAGTAATTATTAAAAATTGTACAGACAGTAAGTGCTATAAGAGTTTAGAACAGGAACAAATCAGTTTTGGATGGAGTGACCAGGGAAGCCTTCACCGAGGAGATTTGGAAAAGCAGGAAGACAAAAAAGTGAAAGGCATTTTATAGATATAGATAGAAAAGCATAAGACTTTTTATGACACAATAATTAATCCAGTTTGGATAGAATTCATAGGATTCGTTGGTACCTTCATAGATAGGGGCAGTAACCTATGGAGAGTAGTCACTGCACTACTGTAAATGAGCAAGAAGACATCAATTACCTTAAAAAGAAGGAAGACACTTTTTATACGGAAAAACTGGGTGGTGGGTTATCGATATTTAAGAGTGAAGAGAAGGAAAATGAGAAATTTCACGACTTGAGGGTTTGCAAACACTTATGCTTACAGGAGTCAGGAAAATACTGGAAATGAGTGAAGTGAGATAGGGGACTATGGCAAATTGGAGAACTCTGCCCCATCTGTCTTAACAGGGCAGCTACTACACAGCTTTCGCCAGCTGATACTGTGTAGAAATGTGGGCCTTGTGTAGCTAGATTTTCTAATTTTTCAAGAGAAGCTAGAAGGTTGGATTTATAATAAAATCAGATTTTTAAATGTTCACCACTAATCCAACATTTTTTAAAATATATGGTCCAAA